CTTTTCAAGGTAAGGCAGAAAAATAACAAGATGCTCAGGAAATTCGTGTCTCGGTTCCAAGCGGAGAGAATGGATTTGCCTCCGGCCACCGATGACTGGGCTGTTCAAGCTTTCACTCAAGGTCTCAACACTCGGAGATCCATAGCTTCACAACGGTTGAAGCAAAGTTTAATCGAGTACCCGGCTGTCACTTGAGCTGACGTACATAATCGGTTTCAGTCGAAGATTAGGGTCGAGGATGATCAACTGGGGACTCCTTCGGGGTCTGTTTATCCTAGCAGGTCCTTGAATAGGATCAAAAGGGACATCGATCGAGGGCCGAGGTCGAATAGAGATCGATATCAACCGTGCAACGAAGACCATAGAGGCAGCGGATCCTGGTAAAGCTTCGAACGAAATGAGAGGAGAAATGATCGAAGTCAAAATTCACGGGGGCTTGATGCCGAGGAAGATCACGTTATGTATCCAAAATCAGAATAAAGGTACGACCCCAGTCCAATCATTTCTATTTTTTCGACTAAAACTTGCAGGCTATCGACAAGGTTCAGCACGAAGCTTTGGATCTTAAAGCACGTGTTGCACTCTTTTTCCCTTAGACCGATTTTTGTCCCAAATGGGTTTTTCCGGCGAGGTTTTTAACGAGGCAACCATTGTTCGTGCTAACTTGGAGCAATTCAACAGTATTCGGGGTTCCCTACAATAAGCCTCGAGTACTGGGGGGCATTACCCTCGAATATCTGCTTTGTTGCAAGGAAATCACTTCATGACAGCGGGGTCTTGATAGGAAAATGTTGTAAGGGTCAAACGGTCAGTGAACCGTGCCCGTATAGGTTACTCGGACCCTAACATCAAACACGCGCGCATGTATAATCATCTATTGAGAGAAGTATTTTTCCTTACCGATATCCCCTGCCTTTAGAAAAATTTCATATTTTATACTCTTGATCTATTGTGTAAACAGGATTAAGGGCCGACCACGACGGAAATTCGAACAACTGACCCCATGCTTGAGGACTGTCGTCCCAAAAACAACCAGAATCAAATTACTAACATTTCGAGACCGTAAGACTTTAAAGGCAATCCTCGACTTTACAGGCCACGGCCACCCCACTCGGGGACTGACATTTCGGGCAAGCTCGAAGTGAAACGGAAGATAAGCCCAAAGGGCAAGTTCCGAACTAAAGAGGAAACATCCAAATTAACACGGATCGAAGACGTCGAAATCCGTAACAAATACAAAAGCCCAAGGGCTATCTTAACCGGAGTTCGAGCGAACTCTCACTCGGGGACTATCTATGAAGCCTAAGGGCTAACTTGCTTCGAGTTCGAGCAAATCCTCACTCGATTATAAAAGCCCAAGGGCTATCTTAACCCAAGTGCAAGCATACCTCGAACACTCGGGGACTACCGACTTGAGCTATCTAAGTTCGAAATCATAAGACCTCAAAGAGGCACCCCCCGATATACAGGTCAAGGCCATCACACTCGGGGTCGAAATGTTATCGTGAAACAAGTCCAAGAGACATACCCGAAGGCTACGGCCATATTAAAGACTACGGTCAGACAAAAGGGCTACGGCCGAAATAATTTGGCTCGGAGACGTCCGACTTCTGCCATAAAATAAAGGCCTTCAAACACTTCGAAAAATCGGTTAAATAAGGCTACCCTTGGCAAAGCAAACAAAAAGGGGCTTCGATAAAATCAGCCCTCGAATAATTTAAAGGCTTCAATAATATCAGCCTTTGAAAAAGCCTCAAGAGGCTTTAAATTATCTTAACACAAACGAGTTAAGGAAAAATTGGGTTCCGATCGTTGAACCCTCGAAAAACCCAAAGGGTAACAAAAAAACCCGTGCTAAGGCATAAAGAAATTTTTACCGAGTTTTTTAGCCGAAAAGAGGGAAAAAGTATAGCCGTTTTTAGAGGCCGAATTGGCCCAACTTAAAGAGCCTAAGGGCCGACCTAATAGAGCCTAACGGCCGATCTAAAGAGCCTAAGGGCCAATACAAAAAAGACTAAGCGCTAAATTTACTTCAAGTTCGAGCAAATCCTCACTCCATCATAAAAGCCCAAGGGCTATCCCAACCCGAGTTCGAGCAAACTCTCACTCGGGGACTATCTATAAAGCCTAAGAGCTACTCAAACTCTAGTTCAAATGGTCATTCGGGGTCCATCGATCTCGGTCGAAAGAACAAAGCCCCGAGTATGGATTTCTTCATAGGCCTCCCTCTGAGACCGACACTTGGTGCGCTCCTGAGCCCGAACCTAACGGCTTTCCTTTGCGGAACAGTTTTAGATGTTTTGGCCATTTTGTTTTCATGAGCAAGGAAGAATGGAGATTGGAATATTTGATATTTCGGGAGGAACAAGCGAAGAAGCTCGTAGACTCAAATCGTTTCATATCATTTCATTCTAAGAAACGCGGGGACTATCTGTATACGGTAAAAATCGAGGATACCCGATTCTACGGGTTCGAGGGTATGCCTCGAGAGTAAGCCGATATCGAAGCAAGTTCGGGCTTAGAGAATATGAAGACTAAGGGATCGAGACCAGGCTCAACGGACACCATAGTAACAGGATCTCGAGATATCCGCGATCGACTACCGATCTCGGCGAGAATCTCGGGACTGATAGAACCATTAATGGTTAATGATATCAATCATGTATTTTACTTCCGAAATTAGAGCCATACCCTATTTAGGATTCCTCTCTATATAAAGAGGAATCCTATTCATTTGTAGAGGAGGATATCATCACAATTATCATCATACACGAATTATCTCTTACGTTACTACTGAGAAATACAAGCACTCTGCTCTTTTACTTACTCTTGATTCCTGGTTGTTCTTACTGTTCATATTGTTCGTACTATTCTTGTTACTCTTATTGTTCTTGGCAATTGATCTCGAGTCTAATCCAGATCGGGGTCAGTAACTTGCTATTACACGGGTTTGATCCATTTAAATCGTCTAATTCCTTTATTTATCTAGCTATTTATCAATTGACATTGAATTAGATCACGTATCCTTATAATCACATTACAAGTTTAATTGTTACTCGTATTCCGAGGTAAACATTAGTCATAATTCCAACTTGTCTCGCACAAAATTAGAAGACGTGACTGTTAAAACTGTCTCTTTCAAGGAGTAAGTTAACTATTAGCATTATCTCCTTAAGTTAGTTATCAGAATATCGGTTGACAAATTCGAATGTCGGTGATCATTCAGCTAGGTGATTCATTAAATTTTTAGCCAACTTACCTAATAATTTTTGTTTATAAAAATACCAAATTGTACCCACAATGCAAATAGCAACTTCCTTTCATTTTTACTAATATTGTTAACAGGTTAGGAAATATAATTATCAATGCATTTGACAGCGCGCCTTCTAAGGATAAGCAACAAACATCTATTTTCCTTTTATTATTTGATTTATTGTTTAAAACGAAAACATTACACATGGATTTGTGTAATTGTGTCCGACATAGGTATATAATCGAATGATTATTTTATAAATATAACTGCAAAATTTGAAGAATCTTAATAGTAGAGTTAATTGGTTACCGGAACTTTTACTTATATAAGGTTGGATTTCGCACTTTGTAATTCTCTCCCGTAATTCTCTCCCTTATTTCTCATTCCACCTCCATATAATTTTTTCTTAAGAAATAAACTATAAAGAAAAACTGAACTCATCATTTGGAGAAGCTTTTCTCACTAAAATGCATAGAGTACTTTACATATTCACCTAAGATTAGCTACAATTTAGCGGATAATTAAGCATGCACAGCACCATTTTGGTAAAAGAGAATCATATTTTTCGACTTCCATTGAATCCTGCAAAAGAAGAAATTGTTACTCGTACCACTCTATTATTCTTCATGATCTTAAGTTATCAATTTGATGCGAGAATTTAGCCATAATCAGATCCATTCAATCTTATGCTTAATTAATTTAAATTGTTGGAAATTGGGGTAATACTAAAATCTATAGGACTTATAATTTCTTACTTATTTTTTTTTTAATTTCTTACTTGAAGATTTTTAGAAAACTAAATAAGTAAATAAATTTAACAATGTGAAACACATAAGGAGCACAAGGGAGAGTGTATTAGTGGAAAAAAGGGCATGACATGTGGCATTGAGTTAAAGAATTCAAGAAGGCACGAGAGCAACATCCTCAGAATTTCTCTAGGAAGGAAATCGGCTCTGACAGCTAGAAAGAAGAGAAATAGCAGCAAAATGTATAAAGACCATTAAAGAAGGAAGGTGCACGAATCAGTCTTAAATAAAGAAGGGAAATCTACATATAATTGTGGTTACGGGAAATTCTCAGTCACAAACGCTTCGTTACGATTATATATAGACACGGATAATCAAGGCAATTAATGCTATTAATCAGCCTGAATTAAGTATCGAAACCATTGTAATTATATACTCCAATATAAGGACTTAGTCCTCATTTGTAATTGCACTGGATTATTATTGAAAATATATGCAATCATTCTTTACTTTATTCAAAAAGTTCTAACCACAATTTTGGGAGCAAAGCAATTGTCAATCTATTTCGATTTTCATTCCTTGTCAATTATTTTCATTCTTTGCTTTATTCTTCAAATTACTGGCAAAGTGAAGTAAATTTTGATTATCAATAACCTAATTTTTTCTTAATTTAACTTTGACTTTGATCGAAAAATCTATTTTTGGGTTAAATAGAAAGTTACTATAATGGTAGAATACCTCAATCTCCAAGCCCAGAACAAGAAAATAGAGAATGACCAATTCTAAAATACTAATGGTAACGCTACAATGTATAGCAAAACTGAACTGTTTTATGTACAACTTCATATCTGAATAATCTAAAGAAAATAATACCACATCAAACAGTAATAATGAACCAACACATATACAAAATTCAAGTCTGAATATGGCCCTCAAAGAAACCCCCAAAACAGAAAGTCCAATAGACTGAGAACTAAACACAGAACTTTGTGGTCCCAATTAACAACGGTAACAAATATAGTGTAATCTTACAAGTAGAATCATAACATAACAAACATAGTGTAATCTTACAAGTAGAGCCTACAGAAGATAATGTGTACGCAGACCTTATCCTAGGGGTGGAGCCAGAGTGTGGGATGCGGGTGCGGCCGAACCCAATAGTTTTTGTTCAAACCATATATTTGTCTTAAAAATTTTATTGAATATGTACAAATTATTAATTTAGAAACCAATAACTTAAAAGGATTACAATCCCGAACCCATACCTCTACTTACCCTTGCCTTGTGAAGATAGGCTATTTGTGAAGAAAAAATATAGTACTTTCATATTGCTTTAATCACATTTTGCGGTCTTTTTTTGAAGAAACCCACTCACCATCAATCCAATCCTGGTGAAGTCTCAAGTCACTTATATCATAAGCACATTCATCCCCACTGGTTTCAAAGTATACAAAGTAATTAGCTCCAATTTTACCAGTGATTTTGCCAACCCACCACCCATCATTATCAAAAGCATCAACTTCATCATTTAAGCTAAACCCACTCAACGGAATCTCAGGGGGAACTGGCCGGAGTTCAGAGACTGTAACAAACTCCGTCAACGGACCAGAGAGGTCATCTTTCAAAAGGGTCTTATACTGCACGATATAATCTTTCTTGAGCGGTTGGCACACCACAATTGCCTCGTAATATGAACCCACAAATCCATCTTCTTTGCTTGCTACTTCAACAACATCGCCCCTGCAAAACCCCATTTTCAAAGAATTTTGTGATTTCGTTAGAAAATGCTGATAGAGGAAGATCGAAAAGCACTGATTTTGGGGTGACTCTTTAATGGCAAGGAATGATTTTCTTAGTTGACGGTTCCGTGATTTTAGCTGTGCAGTATTTACGAGTGAGATTCGTTTTCCTTCGTCTTATTTCTTCGTATAGCTGACAAAAACATAAGAAAATTCAACAGAACAATACATCGTAATTCATAGGTTCCTAAACTAAGGTAGATAAGTTCTTTTGCATTCAGTTCCTCCCTGTGACTTGTTATATTTATTTAGGCCATCTCTAATTTTCCCCCGTTTCCTCGTAACGGGCCAACTTTTGCCATAATCAAGCTCCAACCCTTTCCATATTTGCCCCCAAAAATGGGGATGACTAGTGTTCCCCAAATATGGGTACACTATTCATCTCCCCCATTACTATTCATGCATATTTTATTATTATTTTATTATTTAACTTTTTTCATTTATCTCTTTATATATACCTAATTATATTTATGTAATATCTTTATAATATTACTTTTACATCTTATCTTTGGCGTATAATTTTGATAAATTAATTTTGTGCATTTATTTTTTTTATGTAAAATTGTAAGTTAATATATTATAAGTTATAATTGCACAAAAAATATATAATCATCTCAAAAAATGAATGGCGCAAATATAATATATTAGATGTTGCTAAAATTGAAATGTGCGAATATAAAATATTAGATGTTGCTAAAATTAAAAAGTAAAAATTGAAAATACATTAAATCAAAATACATTAAATTAAAATACATAAAAATTGAAACTATGGTAAATAGCATAATAACTTAGTAGGGAGATATGTCGTTTGCAGATACACCAAAATCATTATAGTATTGAGTGAATAGGGACGATGATTGTTGTAGTTGTGACTGTGGATATTGTTGACTTCTTTTATACATTATTCATGTAACGACCCGACCGGTCGTTTTGAGCCCCAGCGCTCCGTTCAGCAGTCGGAGGCCATGAACAGCTTCATTTCAGATATTGTGACTTGTGCGCGTGGTCGGAATTGAATTTCGGGAAGTCCAGAGTTGATTTGAAAAGAGGATTCTTATTTCGGAAGCTTAAAGTTGAAAGAATGAACTAGGATTGGATTTTTGAGTAAACAACCTCGGAATAGGGATCTGAAGGTTCCAGCAGATTCGTATGAGGATTTCGGACTTGGACGTATGCCCGGTTCGGGTTTTGGATAACCCGGGAGCGTTTTGGCGCCTATTGTGGAAGTCAGCATTTTTGAAGAAATTTCATAAGTTTGGCTTGAAGTGCATTTCAGTGTTATCGATGTCCGTTTGGGATTCCGAGTCCGGGAATAGCTCCGTATGGTGATTCAGGAGTTGGGAGCGCGATCGGAAGTGAATTCGGAGGTCCATAGGTCATTTTGGAGTCATTTGGCTAAAGATAGAAATTTGAAGGTTTTTGAGAAATTTGACCGGAAGTGGACTTTTTGATATCGGGGTCGAAATCCGATTCCGAAAGTTGGAGTAGGTCCGTAATGTCGAATATGACTTGTGTGCAAAATTTGAGGTCAATCGGACGTGATTTGATATGTTTAAGCATCGAAAGTAGAAGTTGGAAGTTCTAAAGTTCATAAAGCTTGGATTGGGGGTTGGTTCATGATTTTAGCGTTGTTTGATGTGATTTGAGGCCTACGAGCAAGTCCGTAATGTGTTTTGGGATTGGTTGGTATGACTAGTTGGGGTCCCGAGGGCCTCGGGTGGATTCCGGGTGCTTAACGGATCAATTTTTGGAGTTGAAGAAAAACTAAAGCAGCGGGTATTTGGTATTTCCGCACCTGCGAAGTTTTGGCCGCAGGTGCGGAGCCGCAGAAGCAGCCAGGAAGACCGCAGATGCGGATTTTGGTGACGAAAGCTGGGACCGCAGATGCGGGACCGCACCTGCAGAAAAGGGAGCGCAGAAGCGGAAGCTGGGCGGCTTGGGAAGGAGCCGCAGAAGCGGCGTTTTGACCGCATAAGCAGAGCCGCATAAGCGGAAATAATTCCGCAGAAGCGAAAGTACCTGGAGGCAGAAAGTTTGTTTTAAAATCGGGGTTGAAGTTCATTTCTCTCATTTCTTCAAGGCTTGGACAATTTTTGGGGAGCTTCAAGAGGGGATTTTCGTCATCAATGTTAAGATAAGTTATCCCAACCTATTTTGAGTTGAATACATCAATTATGTATGGATTTGGGCATGAAAATTAGTATAAAACTTGAGGTTTTGGTGGAAAACCTAGGAAATTATATTATTGGGATTTAGCCACGAAATTGAGCATGGAATTAGGAGTAAATTGTATATTTGAGTTGATAAGGTCATGGGTAATCTTTATCTTCCAAAAATTTCGGATTCCGGGCACGTGGGCCCGAGGGCGTTTTGGTCAACTTTTCGATCGGAGTTAGGAATTTCTATGAATTAGATTGTAATGAATAATTAAGCATATATTAATGGGTTTGTGTAACCGTTGGCTAGTTTCGGAGCGTGGTGCATCAATTAGAGTCTTCGGAGGGGCGTGGAGTGCCGGTTATGAGTCTTCGGAGCGAGGTGAGTCTCCTTTCTAACCTTGTAAGAGGGAATTGTCCCCATAGGTGAAATAATTGATTATGTGCTCCTATTTGCGGGGGCTACGTACGCACGAGGTGACGAGAGTCCGTGCGTAGCTACTATTATGTTATTACCCAGGTAGTTAGGACCCAAAAGCATGTTATACTTGGATTGTTTATGAACCCATTGATAGCTTGAATTGCTTAAATCACATTGAACTAGTAAGTGAATTTTTAAAAGGATTAAACTTTATTTCTTGAAATTTGTTAAAGGAGAATTGATTTTATTTGGATAAATATTCCCCGATAAGTTCTTGATTGACTGATTGAGCATGTATCTCTATGTGTACCTGCGTCTCATGCATGATTGGCGAGCAGGGTATGTGTTCATTTATGGAACGGGCCGAACGCCTCGACAGATTAAATAGATGCATCTATGGTTCGTGCCGTTCGACCCTCGGCAGTGCATAATTTACATTTCTATTGGAGCGGGCCGTCGACCTCGGCACGATTTGCGCATGACATATACATTGTTTCCCGAGAATTTTAAATGTTGATATTGCCTTTCATGGCTTGATATAAATTGATAAGATAATGAAAAGTAAACCTTGAAAATCCTTTATTATTTGTTAAAGGTGTTTACCTGTCTTCTCGCTTTGTGAATTAGAACTGCTATATAATCCATGATTTCCTCACATTTTTAGTATATTGTCAATTGACCTCTAGTAAGTGTCGAAGTTGACCATCTCGTCTATACTTCTTCGAGATTAGGCGGGACACTCATTAAGTATACGTTGTTTACGTACTCATACTACAGTTCTATGCATTTTTGTTGCACAGGTATATGTAGCTCTTGTAGCCTACTGGGCGTAGCAGCGCGGATGATTCTGGGACTAGGTGAGTTGCATTATTCGAGGCGACCCGCAGCTAGTGTAGTCCCTTCCAGGGTCTTGTATTTATTTCCTGTCCATTGTATTTCGGACGGATGTTGTATTTTATTTCCTTATCAGTAGATGCTCATGCACTTGTGACACCAAGTTCTGGGATGGTTTGAATATTGTATGGACTGCTTATCATTTAAATTTGATTTGAGATTATATTCTTTTACAATTTCTAAATTTGCAGGAAAGCCATAGATTTTAGAAGCATTAAAACGAGAATTTGATTAAGTAATTGGTTGGCTTGCCTGACAGCAGCGTCCGGCGCCATCACGACCCTTAGTGGATTTTGGGTCGTGACAACATGGTATCAGAGCACTAGGTTCCTAGGATCTCACGAGTCATGAGCAAGTCTAGCAGAGTCTCGCGGATCGGTACGGAGACGTCTGTACTTATCCTCGGGAGGCTGCAGGACTGTTAGGAGTACTTCCCTTCTTGATTCCTTATCGTGCAATTCGATTTCATGTGAGGCTTATGCCTTTGTTTCTTTCCTCTCAGTCCTATGCGACGCGAACCGCTTGTCATAAATTGAAATTGAAGGACCGTAATGGTACTATAGATGTGATACGGGAAGTTTCTCCCGGTATAGCTGATCAGATTATTGTCGTCGCCTTATGGAAGAATATTTTATTGTTTCAGCCCAGTGGCGGTATTTTTGAGGGCTTTGAGGCTAGGCACAAGTTGCCGCGATGCTTATGAATGACTATTCTGCAGTAGTAACATGATGGTGAGGTGTCGCCCACGTGTCAGGGCAGTGAATGATTTCAAGGGAGGTTTACTCAGTGCATAATCAAGAGATTCGATATTTTATTTCCGGCAGGGAGAAAGGCAATCGAACTAAGGAGGGTCAGATGTGGACTGGTGGAAGTAATGAGACTTGGTAATTGCAAGCGTGGTGGAATTTTTCTTCTATATTGGGGTGTTGTCGTCCTAATTGGACGTATTAAGTTTGTCGGTGGTATGATCTTCTACAATTCGCCTTTGAGGCAAGGTATTGTGAAATAGTATCGGAGATACAACTATCAGATATTGCAGGATGCGGTGGTTCAGGATTGAAGCAGCATTTCTAATGTTGACGGTTCGAGAAAGATGACCTTCGGAGAAGTTTGGAGTTAGTAGCGATTTGTGGATTCAAGTACTATGAAGATAAATTTTAAGGCAACAACTGAGCAGCAAAGGATGAGGAAGACAGGTGGGAAGTGTCAGGCGGAGTTTTAAATTGCTAAAAGGCCAGGCTTAGGAAGTGCATGCCGAGCAGTTGATTAAGGGAGCGAGTTTGCCCAAAGTGGGAGAGTGGCGGAGCTGCGTAGGGGCTTGGTAATAAGATGACCATGCGCCTTAAGGAGAGTTGGAGCGATTTGGGAATATTGGTGCTTTATTATTGGGGTCTACGGATCTGATTTGAAGTAGGGGTTCTTGTACGGCCGGAGATTTAATATAACAGAAATGAGCCGCTTAAATGAAGAAGGATGCAGCATGGCTTTGAATTGGAAGGATGTTGTCGTACGTTTCAATGATGTCCACGAGGGGTAAAATGGACCTGTGCAACTGGAGTTTGAGCTCGGACTCAGGAGAGGTTATTGATATCGTAGTGATTGTACCCCACGCAGCAGCGTTGGAAGATGTCGGGGAGGGACTCCTACAGGTGGGGTATTCCTGGGAGCAGGTTAGCAGTCGCGTGGTTGGCGAGGCTTCTGCGAAGAGTTCTACTGGTTATACAGCGAAGGGAATTGTTATGTGAATGTTGTTAATGATTCAGAGTATAAAAAAAAGGGGGCTTCTACAGTAAG